TGTTTTTATATTGTCATTGTCCGTGAGAAAACATACTCATATGGACTGGTCTCAGTTCATATAGAAATTGTTGCACATTCATCAACAGAGATAAAATGAATATTAGCCCTCACCACACATATAAGTAGAGGTAAGTAGACCGCGCCCGCTGTTTTACACCAATAAATCGCGGCAAAGCGAAGGATTGCGACGATTCTTTGGTGCCCTGGAGTTAATCAATTTTACAACTTCCCGGAAAATTAAATAGCCCTTATCATTTTTGCGTCTTGTCTGAGAATTTTAAATCCCTGAACCAAATAACCTTTAACCTGTGATTATTTTTCTCAAGATCATGTCAGGCCAGAATAGCAATTGAAAGTCAGCGCACATCTTCTGTGTGTTTCCATAGTCGTTTCGTGATTAGCAACGTCACAACATGTGAAATATATTATCTAATGTTTGTCTCATTAATTGTTGTGGGTGCCAAGGTCACGTGAAACTCAGGTTAAGGTCATTTACTTGAAATGATCTCGGTTAACTTCCTTAAATTTACACCTTTTTACTGTGGTTTTTAGGAAGTGTTGGTTTGAAATTTAGCACCCATTTTAGCATTTGAAAACTAGGCATACTTAGGTATCAGTTATAATGCCTATGCAATATGATGCAAGGCTGTAAATGCTGGTTAACATTCTATATAGCCGGCAGAACGCCTAATGGGTGATCTGGCGTGACTCGTCCTACCCCAAATGCTTTGATACATCATCTTTGATCAAAGCAAGTGCAAATTCGGAGTCAGAAGCAAGCCAAGTCCCAGCAAACTTCACTTGTAGAAATTCTAGCAGGACCCAATTTTCCGTGCTTTTGGGTTATTAACCTGAGCTGGGAGGTCAACCAGTGACCTAGGATCTCAGCATTGACCAGGACATAAAAATAATTGGCTTTTTCTCGTCAGCGATGACCAGGACCCTCAAATCATCGGATTTCTCTCGTCACGAGCAACACGCTCTTTTTTATTTTTCAGCGAAGCTCTGGCTCTTTTTATCAAGGGCCGAATGGCTGAGGGTTTCTACGCCCCTCCGCTACATGTAAGACGCTGAAAAGAAATGCCTAAATAGGTGAGGTTTAAATATCGATTGCTTTTTAAGTGCCGAAGCCCGAAACACTTTAATTTACTTCGATAGCAGTTTTTAAGACCAACGAGCTCGAATAATATAACTTCTTGAACAATGTAAGCACCACATAAAATGAATCGTGAGAGAAGCGGCTCAAGATTAAGGAACTATGAGACACTAATATAAAAACGGCATAGATTAGAAACTGCACCTAACTTGCACTGGTTTTTAAACCTTTTCGTTGCAGACTGGTAGATTAAATTTAGGATTGATTTCAGCTGATGCTCAAATGGAGCTATTCATTCGTTCATTCATGCGACCATCCAATTCCATTCATAAAAGAAGCCAGTGACAAAATTGTTCATTTTAGATAAGTGTGAAATACAAACTCAATAAAGTTTAATGATACGGCAAATTTGACAGCTTTTATAATGAACAGACAAATAACTTTAACGAATCAAGGTTGCGAGCCCCAAATAGGGGAGAGTGAGGTATAGATGAGCCAAGGCGCAAGTTTAGCCACCCCATGTTTCTCAGCTCCTACCGGTCCTATGGCGCTGATTGACTTGAGCTTCCATATGCCGTTCGCTTACGATGCTGCAGTCTTTCACGTGAGACGGCAACGTTCTCACGCTCAGCACCCGGTAACATGTGGTATCGCCCCTGATAACTAAGACATGTTTGGCTTTAAAATGAGATTGTTGTTATCTGCGGTGCATGGATATTTTCCTTAGCGGGTGTCATTAATCGAAAATGGCCACGGGTGGGGCAAGATGAGCCATTTTCACCTGGGGGAAGATGAGCCGGATAAGCCATTGATGTCTCCGCTGTCGAAAACCAAACTGAGCTGCGCTTGTTTCTGCTGAATAAAAATGGTAGGAAATTGTTTTTCTTTGTTGATTACACAAGTTGTAAGTGATTTGCAGATTATCTGAAGGATAAAATGATTTCTTCCGTGATAGAAAACTTGACGAGTTAATGGAAGGCTTAAAACAGTTACTTTTTGATGGAGGAAAAAAACTTTGCCATAAGTATGTATGCCATGGAGTAAATAAAAGAGCCCACTCTTCGCCGCGCCCGGGAAAAGAAGAGATTCGCTTTTTCCATCCATGCTCAACTTTCCCCACGACGTGTCTCAACTTACCCCGCCCATGGGGTAAGATGAGCAACGTGCAAGATGATTTTTGACGTAGCCTTTCAGTACAAAAATAAGCGGTATGAAACATTTCTGGCCACCATTACATGCGCAATGACCACTCTGTCCGTCCAACCCGTAACGCAGAAAATGATCAGTAAGGTAGCCTGTAGCTTACGAAAAACAAAAGCGGCTCAACTTACCTCATTCATCCCTACGTTACACAATTGAGGGCATTTTTTAGACCATCACAGTATTTGTCAACAATTGTTGTTTGGGGGGCTGGGAGGGTGGTTACTGGCTCATACACTGTCCCCCCCCCCCCAAATAAAAGAAAACGAAACCGATCATCCGCGAAAAGAACTATTGAGCTCGAACCAAGGTGACGAATCGATTTATAGGTATGCAGGATGACTAACGATGCCACTTTTTGACTTCTTGTGTCAAATAAATTCCATCATCTGGATAGCACGTCAACATTCTATTTGACATTTTACAACAAAGGTATCTATTTGGCGCGACTAGCCTCATAAATGTTCTGAAACTAAAACCGTTTCTTGGCAATTAACTTGGACCACGTCATCCCAGCTTATGCACGACAAAAATAAAATAATGCTTCAGGAACCTGGCCTGAATTCGAATGTTTAAAGTTTACTCAAAACGGGTGTGGCTGAGGCACTCTTCGCTACATCTCGTGACGGCCACCATTGTGTCGCATTTTTCGGTAAGCTATAAGTTAATAAGGAAAGGATTGGTGAGTGGGTTGAAAATAGCCCCCCCTCCACCCCCTCCTTCTTCTGGAAACATAAGTAATCGAAAGATCTGGCGATGGTTTATCCAGCTCCTCTGCCGCCGCGCTGCGAGGCCTCGATTCGTTCGGTATGTGGCTTCCTGAGCGGTCCTCCCCGGAGGCAAGGTGAAAGGTCATGGCCTGTATCAGAAATTTATACGTTGCTGAATATTTTATAGTTCTTCCAAGGCCTTGGACACCGTTTTATTATATCGGATAACATTGCACTTTCTTGTCAATCAATACATTTAAAGAAAACTTGACCATAATCTTATACTGCGGCAATTGTAGTTCTGCTTACGGTTGCCTCTTTATGATACGGGCCACCACCACCTCCACTGCGCTGGAGCTCAGGCGTTCTACCCCTCCCCGCTACGGACCGGCCCTCGGGCTAGGTGTGTTAGTACTGAGCGCAAACCTGTAGTCACGTGACTTTCATTCACGTAGCGGGAACGGAAGCTATAGGCGATACCAAGGACGGGCTCTGGGGAGGCAACCGGCGCGGAAAAATAGCACAATTGTAGTTTTGGAAGAATATCTGTTGCGGTAAGAGGAATTATACAAAACATACGTGCTAGGAGCAAACATGTGTTATTCCTCCATACTTTGCGCTACATTTCCTTTCTCCAATGGCCAGCACTTAGCAAATAATAGCGCAATTCTAAATTGGTAATATATGTGTACAGTAGCAACTGCGGGTCCCTGTACCTGCCATTGGCACCGTTTGCTATCGCCTGCGTAGTATCATAATTGGCTCGGCGGGGAAGCCTGCAAGTCTGACCGGACTCGGCGATCGGCGCGACCTTGGCCGGTCGGCAAATCGAATCAGAGTCGCGGCCAGCGACGCCCACAGCGAAGCCCGATAGATGATTGACATGTGTTGGTACGGTGGCTGCCGCACGCCGCCACCGCCGCCGCTGCGCCACTGCCGCCGCTGCGCCACCACTGCCACCGCCGATAAACCCGCCGCCGCCGCCACCGCTGCCACCTGATTGCCGTCACCACGGTCAACCCATAGGTACGCTGTGGCTCTGTATTTCTACGCTTCATAGCTGACTAAGATGTTAGGTAGACGTACACCATTGGAGTCGGTGTAGGTACTTATATGTTCAGAAAATAGCAATGATTACCTAGATTATGTGGCAAATGCACAACATTTGCAACGCTCCATGGCTCCATGGCATCCTCTTGGTAGATGGGTATAAAGGCGAAACGAGTAGCTGCGCAATCTGGGATCACTCTGCACAGGCTGTCACTTTCTTGTGCATGTAGCTCATGCAATGACTGCGAATGGCGTCTTTGCCACCTCTGCAATGTGCACGCCCATCAACACCTGTGCTATGGTCTCAGTTTGTCCATCAACTGCTCATTGGATTCAGCTCACGGCGCCGGATGATTCATCTGAGCTTCCCTGACGACGTGGCTGACGGTCTGTGTGACGTGACCTGCCTCCGCCCCCTGCCGCCCTCGACTCGGCGCGGCTTCTGCTAGCTGTCGCTGAGATGTTACTCGGAGCGAGATCAATCCATTAGGCCTGCACAGGCCGATAATGCCATTCGGCGAGGATAAACAGCCTGGCGGCCGGTCACAGCCACCGACCCTGTTTATCGACGGAAGTGTATGTTTTGATAGTTCGCTCTGACTAAGTACGAACTGCACGGGACGCTGACACGGTTCGCCCCGGTCCGTGATAGCGACCTATCTCCACGTACGGTCATTGCTCAGCGGTACAGCGACCCGCTATCATCTGAGACACGCCAGGCGCCCCATTTGGGACCGTGCAGCCGAATCGTGTTTGCGGCGAGTCATTTGGCCGAGTTTTGGACGAGCAGCGCTTTAATGGTAGAGGAGGGATAACCGGTGTTGCCAACGGCAACCACGACGGACTTATGTATGTGTGGGGTCATTGTGCGGGCTGTACCGTGTTGGGGAGTGCCGTCCCTGTCCGGCCCCGCTGACCCGATGTCGCCCCTCCTCTCCGCAGCGGCGGCGGACGCGTGCGCCGACGTGTCGTGTCTATCGACGGCCGAGGGCACTTCCCTATCTGGCTGTCCGGTGGACTCGGTGCTGAAACTGGCGCCGCCGGCCCGGCCCAACTGCTGTCCGTCTGTGGCCGAGTGTGTGTGTGACCTCGAGTCGTGCCCACGGCGGCCGCAGTGCGCGCACGGTCAGCCCACCCTGGTCCGCGCCGGAGACAGGAGGCCAGGCAGCTGCTGCAGCATCTGGGACTGCAAGGACAGCGCAGGTGAGAGCGCCGCGGTCAGAGGTCAACTGGGGTCACCGGAGATTAGCCAGAATGAATGTCGGGAGTGAGGGGGAGTACTGAGACCCAGCTGAGCGGCGGACTGTTAGAGGCCGCCCGGAACTCCGGTCATGAAATTTACCAGTCACCCTGGATCACCATCCATCAGCTGGGGCGGCGGGTTCCGAGCTGCACAGCCCAACCTTGACCGAGATCATGATAACAGACCTCAAGTAGACTAGCATTGTAGCGATAATTAGACCCCTTTGACAGCTGACACTAAGCCCAGTTATGCTGTGTGTTCTCGAGTCCAATCAGATACCCTCAGCATGGTGATTGATCCTTTTGTTTGATTAACCTTAATCTGCCGCCGTTTGTTGTTTCTGTTTGTCGCCGTAATTTTGCTTACCCTGTACCCCAAACTGGTGTGAATACCAGCACCTAGCCGCCCTAACCCCGTCCCACACACCACTAACGCTCGGTGGCCGCGCCGCAGCCGCGCCCGCAGCCGCGCCCGCCGTGTCCGCGGCGCCGTGCACCAACGTGAGCTGTCCGCCGGCGGCGCCGTGTCCTGCGGACAGCTACCGGTCAGCCCCGGAGGGATGCTGTCCGGGCGCGTGCGTGTGCCAGCCGGCGCCGTGTCCTCTGCCGGCGTGTCCGGGCGGTGCGCGGCCCCGTGTCCTGATGGACGCGTCCGGACAGCCGGGCGCCTGCTGTCCCGTCTACCAGTGCGGTGAGTTGCTATTCCGTCTACCAGTGCGGTAGGTTAGAGGATCTCACCGGGTACCTGCTGCCCCGTCTACCACTGTGGTAGGTATAGCGACTGGGCACTGCTGTCCCGTCTACATTCTAGTGCGGTAGGTATAGTGAACCGAGCGCCTGCTGTCCCATCTACTAGTTAGTGCGGTAGGCATACCTACTGAGCGCCGCTGCCCCGTCTAATTTTGTTGTTTAACAGTGCGGATATGTTGCTGTTCCGTCTACCTGCGTGGTATGTTAGTGCTTCTCGCCGGCTGGACTGACTCGCCTCTCTGGAGGACAACTCCAGCGCTTTAGCGAGTCTTTCCTTGAATGGTAATTTGGCGTGGTGACGTGGTGATGACGTGTTTTATCAAAAATTG